TGATGGATTCTAAACGTATCCTTGGCATAGTCCATAATCCTTGCCACCGCCCAACATTTTAACGAAAATAGACTTACGATATCTCCTTGTCGCTGTCAAGTATAAACGGTAAATGTTGTCTTTTTATATTTATTTATATTATGTCTTTTTATAATTCTGTCATGAATTTATGATTTGAAACACACCCTATGAATAATAATTTCTATAAATTTTCTTAATATTGATTACAAGTGTCAAATCTTCTGTGAAGATGCCACGCCCTGTTTTGTCCCTACACTGCGACATCCACTTGCAGTGCACCTCGGTGTTAATGTGAACAACTATGTGTGAACATTGGTGCGCATACCGTCATTACGATGATGTGCCGTGTATGTCATCTGTCGTGTTAATGTATGGAGTTATAAATGTCTAAAATATTCAACCACAACTCGCTGACAGAAACCTTCAAATATGCAAACTCTAATATTTAATTTGTTTGTTGACGGAATTTTTATCAATGAACAAATGTTTTCCTCAGAGACGATCATTGACTCAACAAAGCCAATTTACATACTCTTCATACAAGTCGTGTATAAAATTCCGTGAAAACAATTACAACTTTATAAAATTAGACCCCGTCTGTATAGGTGTACACATGATGAATGACGTCGCTGTAAATAACGGATATATATACGAAACACAACGAATTCATCATCAACATAAATGATGGCTGGTAGTATTAAAAAGGAACGTCACGCTTTTGTGTGAAATTCATGGAAAAAAGGTAAAATATCAGGGAAATATTTATGCATCATACTTATAATTTATCAGACAGGTGAGAAAATCCCACATGTAGGCCAACAACATTTATTTTAAACGGAAGAGACGTAAGTGATTGTATTGTACATATAGTACATATATATTATTTGAAAAAAACATGTTACCTATGTGAAGCAAAAAGTGCTAATGAACTCTGTTATGGTCTTCAATCAGGTAAAAACAACCCATTATGCACCACTGTGCCAACTTGGTCAAGTCAAGAAAGTCAGAAAAATTTCGTCTTAACGGTAACTTCCACTCCATTACTGCAGACAGTCGGACGATATGCTTACCCATTTTGACCCTTTGGGGATGTTAAAATTGGCTCTTAATACTGGCTCTGTTGGTGTAACATCTAGTCTCAATTGATCGATTTACTTGCCCTCCTCATCCAGACGGATTCTTTGATTTGTTCCTCCTTTTTGACATTTCAAAAATGGTTCATATAAATCGTGTTTGTATATGTTTGCACAGGATGTAAAGCCCGTGTTGTTTTCCGATGTCCTTCTTGTGTTTTGAGTGTATACCTGCTGTTCCTTTGTTTTGATATATTTGTTCATGCAGTCAGTGCCTGCTTCTTATGTCATTTTTCATTTTCTATGTTTTCCCATTTATCAAAATAATTATGTTTTTATATTATTTCATCAGTGCATGAGTGTATGTTCAAGTTGAAGTGCGAGTATATTTTTAAGAAAGGAATTTTATCATCGGTTTCGTCTTCAGATGTTTCTGCTTCTGCAAAGTAATGTCCAAAATCATCACGTTGATTATAATGACATTTTTGTTTTTGGAGTGAGCATAGTTGAAAAATTGGTTAAAAAACAGGATGAAAAATATGGAAATAAGGCCAGTGACACAGATAACCGAGATCTGAAGACCTTTATGTCATCTGAGGTGACGGTGTCCACTGGTAAGGAGTTCCATTCCCTGATGGTGCGTGGGAAGAACGAGAACTTCCTGTAGTCACTACCACATGATGGAATTTGGAAGGGTAAGGCTGTGTGAATTCCTCGACAGTCTACTGGGTGGAATATGCATGTCGGAGTTGGTATACACGAGGTTGTGGTGGATCTTGAACAGCATACATAGTCTTGCTTGTTGTCTTCTGTCTTTCAACGACGCCCAACCGAGGTGCTCTAGTAAGCTGGTGACACTAGCTGTCCGTCTGTAAGTGTTGGTGGCATATCTAGCAGCCCGTCGTTGTCCCATTTCCAACCTGTCAATGTCTTTCTGTTGATAGGGGTCCCACACAGTGCTTGCGTACTCCATAACAGGTCTTACTAGGGTGGTGTATGCCTTTGATTTGATGCTTTCGGAGTTGATGTTGACATTTCGTTTTAGGAATCCGATGGTACGATTCGCTTTGCCACAGATGTTGCTGATGTGTACACCCCATTTGAGATCTTGCGTGATGGTACATCCAAGATATTTGGCTAATGTCACTGCCTCTAAAACATGTCCATGAAGGGTGTATTTGTGGTTTATTTTGTTTCTGTTCCTGGTGATGGACAATACTTGGCACTTTCCCGGGTAAAATTCCATCTTCCATTGTTGTTCCCTCCCATACTGCTAATTTTTCGTAATCATATTGCAAAGTGTTTGCGTCAGTGTCCGATGTGATCGTAAGATAGACTGTTGTGTCGTCGGCAAACAAAATGTAAACTGTATGGGAGCCGAGTTAACAACCTACTTTAGGTTATAGTTGATAGATCGTTTATCTCACCTCTCTTGATCACTTCCAAGACATCACCGACCTAACTTGATTGCGTTCTGATCCAGGTATTCAATGATAAAATGAGCAGAAATGGGCTGTACTGGGCTCCCGATCACAGCCAATAAAACTGTGCAGGTAAATTATATGGTGTAACAACTCCATGATAATATGAATAAAGAAAGTAAGTCCTCTTTTTAGGGGTTGGATCCTTACAATATTGGCCACTTCATGTTCTGGTGTGTTGCTAAAGAGGGACGCTACACCTTATTGTCCTCTTGTATATATAACAAAGAAGCCAAAATCTACTCATTTTTCACGTGGTTGTTTCTTTTGCCCTTTCAGTGGACCCTGGATGTCGTCCATGTCTCTTGATAGACTATATATGCATTATGAAATAAGTTTAGTCCACAATAGGTCGTTATTGATGGCCTGAATTTTAGATCTTAAGCTTACAATATATTTGGGGAGTGTTTTTCTGTGCTAGGATACATTTTAATAAAGTTATTCACTGATAATGTCCTCGTTCTTCATATGAATGACGTCCAGTTTCCGTTAAGATGTTAGTATACATAGAATCTTTTTAGCATCTTAAAGGTTTTGTTGTCACTAACCAAGGTGGTTATTTATTTTTTATATGCTACTTTAACCACAATAGCGATTGTTCTTCCTTTGTTTGCTGTCAAATCATCATGGGCGTTTCTTAAAATGTTTCAAGCCGTTTATCTTTTTTCTCATCAAACTTTTGTCTTTCATTGGTCTGTCCCTTTTCAAGGAACCTAATGGTCGGTAAGACATTGACAAGTCAGTCCACGTTTACACTTCAATATAACGATAGATGACGGCTCTTATTCTTTCTCTCAAAGACCGTTTTTCTGTTACGTGCCCTAAATGTGTTGATATGACCACGCAGCCGTAGTGAGACATGAACTAACCCATTGCCATTACATCTGAGCGTGAATTTCAAATATTTACCATGATAATGCAATTTGTAATGAACTCATTCTTTCTGCATATATATATACATCTTGACTAAGTTCTGTCAACATCACAGTCAAATATCCAGCATTACATTCGTTAGTTTGGTATTATAAATTGTATGCTAAGTTTGCTTTGTGCACAAAACGTACTTCCTTCGTCAAGAATGCAAATGTGCCGAGTCAAATAAGTCAGCTGTCAAAATCGTATGGAGACATTCGTCTCTCAATACTGCACTCTACAACTACAGGCAGTCAGACGGATGGACAATATGCTTACCCATTTCGCACTTTATTTATGATAACATGCAAACATCTTTCTGGGACCAGTACGTAGAAGAAACAAAGATTAGGAACGTCATCGAGATGATAGAACGTCCGCAAATGTGATAGAAAAAGTAGAAACGTTACAGGACAAGATAAGGGATATGGAGGAAAAGAACAGAAGAACCGACTGTTGATATGGGAGTGAGGCTCAAATATATCAACAACATTAGAAATTCAACACAGCACCACATGATAAAATAAAGACGACTAACTGCGGCCTCTTCTGTTATAAGAGTAATTAGGACAACCACATTTAACCATCACTCGTGAATAACCACTGACAGGGTTTCAAACAAAACCTTGCGTATTCTTCAGAGCCTTTCTTGAAAAAACGGACTAGGTCTGTCCATGTGCTCGCATCAAATCAAACATACTCCCAAAAAGAGGTCAGATGTGATATGTCATGGCGTTGCGAGAACTGGTTGACACATCAGTAAATAATTATAGCAAGAAGAAAGGTCCCAAAAATAGGTTGGATGTAGGTAGTTTGACAGATAGATGTCCCATACCAGACATATATATGTCAAAATGTCCAAGTCTGGTGTCAGTACCAGGGAAAACTCCGGCTAGACGAGCTTCCAGATGGGTGTGGACGATGAAGAAGATAAGGCATTGTACTGTACGACGGATGGTAAACAGATATTCGGTAGGATGTTGTAGCAGAAAATCAAGCAAAATACCAACATGTAAGACCGTCCGCAAGTTGGGTGTGGACAGAGAGTAAGACAAATAACATAGAACGGGATGGTAGGACGGGTATCAAATTGGGTATTGGTGGAATGGAAAACCCTGTTAATACTAACATGTTAGACGGGAACGTTGGTGTGGATTCTGAGGGATATATCGCGAGTAGAAAAAATGTTGGATGGAGTTCCAGTTGGGTGAAGAGGGAAACAGTACAGAACCAACAAAGTAGACAGGTATCCAGTGTGAAATGATAGAACAAGCACACAGGAGGGGACTATTGACAGGCATATCTAGTTCTGGGTGGGTGGAGAGAGGCCATGCCTAGTACGAGACAGGTTGTCAGGTGGGGGTGTATGGATATAAGCAAAAGACAAGAAAAAATAGCAGGCCTTCCGATTTGGTTAGGATGAAAAAGGAAACTATGTACGAATGATCGAGAATGATGAGACTCACTGGAGTGGTATCATATACCCAATTAGTGAGCAACGAATTTCTTCAGGATTCAACAACATTTATTTAAGATGCTAATGCAACAGACCTGCTGTTACCAATAAATAATACAACACACATATCGAAGTCACAGACAGAAGTGGTACTACCATCTCATTATAGTGAAAGTATTCAAGTCCCAAGAAGGTATTACCACCATGAAAACGAACAATTTAAATACGTACATGATAAATACGGCAAGCAATCAATGGCCAACTCATCACCAATAGCCAATCACAGCAAAGGTGATTAAGACAGTACAATCATAAACATACATGTATGAGGTAATTATGGTTTGACAATTGTGATTATTGAGCTAGAGTAACCTATGAAACGTACATGTATTCAGCAGTAAAGAATGCTTGTGGATGGTTTTATATAATTAAGTCATGGTTTATTGATCATTATTATTGGAATCTATATATTGTTGAACTTTTATTTATATAAAGAACCTTTTATGTTCACCGTTGAAATGTTACTGGGTCTAAAAAAACGGTTTAATAGCAAAGAAGATCTTATACAACATGATACAATTTAAACAAGAATAATATCCAATGTGTTGTTATTTTAGTTACTTGTTATGTTTGTAAACTAAACTTAAGTCTTACACATTTTGCCAAAACTCAGTTTCTAGTGAAAGTAATGTTTAATACATGTTATAGATGATTTCATAAATGTAAAAAAACAGAAAAATCTACAAATAACCCCATGACGCAAATGACAGATTACAACATTTCACTTACTAAATAATTCATAATTAAATAATAAATATGGTCTCCGTGTGGCACGTCTTGGTTTAAGGAACTCATTGTTTACCCATTTTCTTACAGCAATTTGAATGGATGCATGTTTGCATTACAGCTATGCTAAAAAAACATATAAATTTATTAGTATTAACAGAGACGTATAATACATTATTATACGTCTCTGGTATTAACCAACGAAATAACTTTTTGGTCATATTATTACCTGCAAAAAAATAATGCGTCACAACTTTTTGGAGATATTGTTCTATCAATTTTTTTTAATAATATACCTGCACAAGATCGTGGATGCTTTGTATTTGTTTCAGAAGCTGTAATACATTTTCATAAAATACTGCTTGACGTTGCTCGACAAGCAGACCGAGGTGAAGCATGGGAAGGGAGAAAACTCTGTTATAATTTAACATTATTTTTTGAAAGAGACCTCTTGTAAGCTTAGCATGGGAAGGAACTATTGTAGCAATTTTTTGACAACATTTACATAATTCTAGCTATGTATAGATTAAAATCTGCATTAGTGAGAATTAGTGGAGAAAGCCTAGATTGAGTTAAATATTGGAGTTATATATTTTGATACAATATTGCACCTTGTCAAGTTCAATATTTCAGGACACTCTCACTGGCTTATGGGATGGGTGTAGGCAAATTGGTAGGACAGCACTTTATTTATTAATAATAATTTACTTTTGTCGAAATTTAAATATTCCAAAAAGAGAAACTTATTTTTTTGATATTTAATTTTCATAACCACACAACTGATTTTGTTATATAGGATGAAATATGATCTCTTAAGGTTAATCCTGTACAGAACCCTTAACAAGTTGTTTTGCTAGATATTATCATTTTTCCTGAGCTCATTTATTTTTCACAATCAAAGCCTTCTCTTTTTCTCAAAATATCGCACAAGACAGTGATCAGAGAACTAAATATTTCAAACACAGGATTTTTTTCCTGTTTTTGTTTAGTCTGAAATAAAATTAGGTTTTTAAATGGCTCTGTTCAGATGTAGCATAAGTCCAATTTTCTGCTTAGGTGTTATTATTCTCAAATACAAAAGTATCTCAAACTTGCCACAGCAGTTGGTTTGGTTTTGTTTTGTTTTTGTTTAACATCCTATTAACAGCTAGGGTCATGTTGGGGTGTTCATCTATATCAACACATGTGTCGATGAGAATGCACTGAACAAATTCATGATAGCTCTTGACATCAAAATTGATTACTAATAGTTCTCTAATAAAAGTAACAGAGGTCACGGACGCACAGTCACCTTTAATAGAATATTCACTGGCCTTCTGTCTCTGGGCCCTGATTGGTCAATGTTTCCCCTTTGAACTGTATAACCCCTGAAGACGTGTCCATGTCACAAGTAGGTGTGATGTGTGTAGCGTCATCCTCAGTCTGCATACCATCCTCTATACTGTCTTCTATACTGTCGTCTGTGCTGTTCTGTATCACTTCAGCCATGTTCTCTGTCTTAATCATATTGTCAGATAATATATCCTGGTTGATGTTAGATGAGTTGTCTTCTTCAGCATTTCTGAAACAGAAAAAATTTGCATTTTAAAAATGGTCAGAGGAAGTGGAATTTGTTGTTGTTATGGCGGCAATTGATGTATACTGCATTCAGCTTAATATGTTTGTCTTTTGTCAGTGGAAAACATGATTTTATGTAAAACATGACTTTAACAGATAATGTGTTTTCTGATGTTTTTCAGGAGTAAAAACCCAGAAGTGACCATATTTAAATGTCCAAGTGATGTAGTTCTGCAAAGGTGATTGTTTAATAAGGACACATTGTAATTTATTGTATATCAGAAGTAGTCTCTGAATTTCAGTTAGATGTTTCGATAGACTGCAAGGAAGTTTGTCAGACATATAAGTTTCTTTGAAAAAAGTCTGCATCACAAAACTCTCCTGATAATTATATTAACTCTCAAATGAATTCAATACATTTTCTACATGTCCTGATTAAAAAATGGGAAAATGATAATAACAGACTTCAAGAACAGTTTATCAGTACAGTATTGCCTACACAACATAATAGAGAGCTTGTATGATTGCTTGCATGCATTGTAATTAAGAAAATTATATAATTTACAGATCCTTCACAGCACATATCTGTCAGGAACAGCCTTTATACTCACTCTGTGTTAGATGGACTGGCTTTGGTTTTGAGTGTCCTGATGATAATGTCACGATGTTTTGTCTGCATGTGTCGTATGAGAGTGGCCTCTTTCACAAATTGGCGACTACAGTGACCACACGTCAACATTGACGTCTGCAGGTGGATGTTTCTCATATGTCTGTTCAGATCACCTGTACAGAAACATTACAGCCATGTACCATGCTTGTTGGGAAGTAATTTTTGGAATCAATGAAAGTTATTAAACAATGATAATCAATTTACTAAACTTTTGACTGTACTACATGCATAGGCTTTGCAGGAACGTCTCCGAAAGTGATTATCATATACTGTCAATATTTTTTGTTGAAAAGTAAGATTTCGAATCAATTCGAAGATAAAGTCATTTAACTAGGATAACCAATCACTAAACTTTTAACTCTACTACATGTGTAGGCTTTGCAGGCATATCTCTGAAATGCGTTCTGTCAATATTTTTTTACTCTAGGAGATAAAAACAAACTCAAAACGTTGACAAAATAATGATATTTTTCAGGGAAATACAGTAGGTCATGAGAGTGAGAATTTTGTTTACAAAGTGAAACACAGATAGCTAAAGAGGTATAGAGGTACAAATACAAGTTAACAAGTTAAGTAGACTGATTCAACCCAATGGTGATGTACCAGGGTAGGTGTGTAAAAGTTGATTAAAACCACACTTACCTGATTGATAGAAGTTTTTGGAGCAGTAAACACATTTGAACGTCTTTTCTTTCTTGTGGAACCGCATGTGTACCACTAAGTCACTCCTCCGTATGTAGCCTTATAATAAAATGAAGCACAATGATTAACAATTAGCATTTTCCAACTCTGTTCACAATTGGCTATATAGAAAACCCACTTTCTGCATGATTTCTTTAGGAACCCCAGTATTTACATTAATTACAAATTCTTTTCCATTTGTCTAGACATTTTTCTAATACTTTGAATGCGTATGAATTAATAAATGACTTTAAGATTCCAAATTAGACTAGAATGCACAATGATTGTTTTAAGCAGTAACTAGATATAGCTCACCTCTGCCACACTCATTACACCTGAATGGCTGCTCGTTTGTGTGTATCAACATGTGTCGTTTCATGTCACATCGCTGGAGGAACAGTCGCCCACACTCCTGACACTTATAACGGTAGTCATCCTGTGAAATAAAACACACACCTAATCAATCCACACAAATGAAAACTCCTGTACATTTGTTTTTTTAGAAAGTGACAAAATTAGGGATGTACATGAAAGACTGATATATATTCCATCAATGTTGTTTCGATGACAATACACACATAAAACAGTCGTAATATAGAGAACCTTTTCAATTCAATGAACAATAGCTATTATAAGAAAAATTACTATCTGCATTGAAATGACAATTGAATTTCTACACATATATGTTGAACTTATTTACATTTTTTTTGACCCAAGGCATGACTATTGATAAATCTTTTCTGCCCCAGTATTTTTCATGTGTTAATATTTCCGTGATTTTGATACACAATTGGTGAGTGACAAAACTGATCGGCCTACCTTTGTATTAACAGTGTGGATCATTCTGTGTCGGGTGTAGTTGCCGTAGCGATTGAAGGAGGCACTACAGAGATCACATCTGTATTCGTGCCTGCTGCCTCCTTGTATTATAGGGCACTGCTCCATAACAGATCCATCCTTCATGGATTCCAGTTGGACCTGTGGTAATATCTTCACTCCTTTCTCAGTATTCTGTGATGCTGAACCTTTTCCTTCAGCTTGAATCTGACATATCTGACCTTGGGAGGTACTTTGACCTTGGGAGGTACTTTGAACTTGACACGTTGTAAGAGATGAACCAAGATTAACCTTGATTGGATTCAACTGTTCAACTTTGCTGACATCCAATTTGTTTTGAGCTTGCACTGGTACTGATGTTGAGCTTGCTGTCTGTACATTTTCTGCCTTACCAGGTAATTTTGCTGAAATATTTGGTTCTAAAATTGATACATATTTAACCTGTGAAGAGTTGACAGTGGAGCTGGACTGGACTGTTGGTGTCTGACTAACTTCCATACTAGAATAACCATCAGAACCTGGGCGTATTAACGGAGTCTTTACTGTCACTGTTGCAGAATTTAAACCTTCAGGAGTATTATTTGAGGTTTTATTGTTTGATGATTTATTATCACTTAAAGTTGAAGGTACTAATCCATTTTTATTTCTACAATCAAATGTCATTGATATTGTTTTACCATATATTACTATTTTTGTGTTTTTCCGTCCTGCAGTTTTTAAACTGTCTGTTTTATCATTTTCTTGTTCTTGATTTACTCCTTCAGAACAAGTTGCTTCGCCATTTGCTTCTTCTCTCTTTTTTTCATCCTTCCCAAAATGCATCTGCTTGTCAGTTCCTGTTGTGTTGACACTGATCATAGAATCAGGTACTGATGGGGCAACCTCTGGACCAGGAATCTGATCAACACTGGATAGACAGGTCTGAACAGGCATGCTGGTGCTGGTGTTCACTGAAGATGTGCAGCTACTAGGTCGGGGAACAATTTTTTTCAGCAATTGTTCAGAGGTTATCAAATTTGAGTTAGTTGCACAAGATGGCTGCAATGTTGCTAGGGTGTTGCTTGGATACAGAGAGTTACCTCCACTGAGAGAAGTCACAGGTGACTGAGTCAATGACATATTTCCCGGTAGTTGACTAGCAACAGGTTGAAGCACTAACAGGTTTCCTAGTAAAAATGCTGATGTAGAACCTGACTGTAGATTGATAAGTTGTTGAACAGTCTTGGTAGTATCTGCTGAGCAGTGGTTAGAACCTATAGGTAATTTCTGACTGTCTTGGTTCGACAGACCAAGAACTTGGCTATTTCCCTGCTGGACTAAATTTAATGGTATTATTTTTGGATTGGCTGTCTGCTGTGACCCTAGTTGAAGAAACTGCCCCATTTTCTGATTTGCTGAAAGAAGCTGTGCAACTGTGGAGTCGCCGCTGGTTGGTCTTCCAGACGTGAGAAGTTGGAGTTGTTGAAGATTGCCAATAGGTACAACTTGTACTGCCTGGAGATTTGGTAAGATGGAGGCCAGAGGTAGTGTGGGGATGGTACTGATACTGGCACGGGATGGAGCCATCTGTTGCTTCAGGTCAGGATTACCTTCCAAGGCAGCATTGAGAATGCTATAACCCTCACTGTTCTCCTCTGTTGCTCCATCACTTGTGATATCTGTGACAGAATTCTCTATGGGAAAATCTGCAGCAGACACCAGATCATTTGCAGGACCAAGATCAAGCTTAAAATCTGCTGCAGATAGATGTTTGTCATTGCTGTCATGATTTGCACATGCCCTTGACGGAGGTGACACTTGATCAAGCACCAATAAATGATGAACTGCTTCTGTATTTGCAGCCAAATTCAGTTTATCAGACAATTCAGTACTCGAGGATACAAAATCACTCTCCTCCAGATTGGCCGTCTCCGACAATCCTGTACCAGTAGACACAAAGTCGCTCTCCTCCAGATTGGCTGTCTCCGACAATCCTGTACCAGTAGACACAAAGTCACTCTCCTCCAGATTGGACGTCTCTGACAATCCTGTACCAGTAGACACAAAGTCGCTCTCTTCCAGATTGGCTGTCTCCGACAATCCTGTACCAGTAGACTCAAAGTCTCTCTCCTCCAGATTGGCCGTCTCTGACAATCCTGTACCAGTAGACGCAAAGTCACTCTCCTCCAGATTGGCCGTCTCTGACAATCCTGTCCCAGTAGACACAAAGTCACTCTCCTCCAGATTGGCCGTCTCTGACAATCCTGTACCGGTAGACACAAAGTCACTCTCCTCCAGATTGGTTGTCTCAGCAAAATGTAACTCCATTCTACAATTTATATCCATGTTTCAAAAGAATTTTGAATCTACTTCCCTTGTAATCTCAAGCTGGATACCACTTGGGTTTCAGCATCATCTGTAAAAGAAGTAGTATAATAAAAAAATATAATTATTCTTTTACACCTTCATATTAAATCTGCACAAATGCTAAAATTTACGAAACTAATATAACAATAGGCTCAATGGGCCTGTATAATTCACTTGTTATTGAATGCTTTTAACAAATACATCCAATATCTGTCATTTTTGAACAGGGTCACTATCAACTTTATTAAACATGCTACAGGCTATTTTAAAAGATCCTTGGCCTCTTTATTATTCAGAAGTCATATATAGGTCGTAATATATTTGACCCCTTATGACCTAAAAAGGTCAAGTTTTTTTTTTTGAACAAACAGCACATAAGCAAAGCATGCTTCAGGCCCAAAGTCATTGCATTGGATCTCTCGATTATTCATCAGATGTCATTTAATTTGAACACATTTGACCCTTGTGACTTTCAACATGGGTCAATGAATGTCATACATTTGAACAAACTTGACAACTCCCTATAGCTATCCCAGCAAGCTACAGGGCCAAAGATCTAAACCCTAGGGTTCTTGGGTTATTCTGTAGAAATCATATTCGAACCCCTGTCATCTTGAACAGGGCTCATACAGGATTTTCACTTCATACTTCAATAACTTCATAGTGCCTTTTTACTTACCTTGTTAAAGAGCGATGATAATCATATTGTTACAAAACCAGGAGGTCAACCTGCCACTCCTGGCTGTGAGCCTGAAAATAGGTCAAGGCTGTTCATTAAACTTGACATCCATCTACTACATTAATGTTTATGTTTACTGCCCACATTTACATACATTTATTACAAGTTATAATTTATTACGTTTAACGTCCTATTAACAGCTAAGGTCATCAAATTCTATATAAGGATGGCCTCCATGTGTGTTGTGCATGTGTGTGCGTGCCGGAGACAGGGTTATTGGTGTACTAATACACCTCATTTTTTTTTATAAGCAATGACAATGTTCTGCTAGATCTATGTTTACCAAGTAGGCCTGATCACGTCACCTTGATATGGAGTTTTTAGCTCATCAGCCAAGGGCAACGATTTTATTTTTAATAACCAAGAGTTCTAGGGTCATGATTTTTGGGCAATAGCATGCTAAACCACAGCTTCTATTTAAGGATAAACAACCCCATGCACGACCAAACAAAAGTAGGCAAGGACTACAACTCAAGGAAAAACTTCATAATGCATACTATTCAGGTCTTCCTTGGATTTTTTTGGCTGAGTGATGAGTTCAAAATGAACAAATTAAGATATGGACTATACAAAGAAGTGTACATGTAACGGCCAGACCAGGGTTCAAACCAGGGACCCACTGAAATCTTGACGGACGCTCTATCAATTGAGCTACCTAGTTGTTGACGATCGACCCAGTTCAGTTCTGCTACATTCCTCCCTCCTTTCTCTAAATCTTCGCCCCCGAAGACACAACTATTTACAACCAAAGTTTGGTTATCCCCTTGCCAAGCGTACGCCCAATGCTTGTAATAAGGGTTGGACAGCTCGCCAAGTCTGTAACAGGAGAAAGAGAAAAAGTAATGGCTTATAACCAGGGTTCGAACCTGGGACCCCCAGACCTCTAGACGGACAATTTACCATGCAATTGAGCTACCTGGTCAACTGAGTCCAGTTTGGCTACAGAGGTATACAATGTATCCACAGGGGTTTGTTAAAAATGTCTGAAATACACATATGCAACACTGATATGGGTCACAGCAAACATTAACATATATGTGTACTGTGACCCATATCATTACAGCATATGTGTATTCAGACATTTGTAAGGAACCTGTGATGTATCTGTATTGATCACTGCATAAATAGACTGAATAGCACATCAATTAGGGAGCTGCCTTTGAGAAAGATTCTTAGAAGAAATCTGGTTTGTCATAATAATTTCAAAAGTGAGAAACAACAGCTTTGAAACTCGTATGTTATGTCAATGTTTTATTAATTTTCTACAAAGGTAATATAGCTAAATCATAGGCAGATCTTCAAGCCTGGTCTGTCTGTACACCTATACGACATTTTGATATTTAAATTATAATTACCTGTAATATTTTTTTAAACAAAGTTACAAGATTTATTTTGAACGTCATGTTTTAAACAAATTAAGCAATATTAGCTTTAATGTGTGATTGATTTACAGGGATTCAAGCACCGAAGTCTGAAATTCTGTCAATTAATACAAATAACAGTAATACAAAAAGAAACCACCTAAATACTTTTTTTTGTACTGTTAATATATATATAGTGTTGTTACAAATATCTACAGAAATCCAGACTCTTGTGAATTCAAGGGCATACATTCATGTTTACAAAATTAATAAAATATTAACTAGAATGTCTTGTGGCGTAAGGTTCTCGAAATTCTAATTAGGTCAATAAGCGATTTGTTTAAAACAAAACGTCAAACCCCTGTGAACGAGGGAGTGATTCTACCGTAACGCACGAAATTCGACTCCAGGTAACCGGTCGCAATCTACAGCCTCAATACAGGGCTTTCCATCAGACATTAGCTATATAGGCTGAAAGGTTACAAAGCATTGGTAATAATAATTATATATTAACATACCAGTTCATTTACCATGCCATAACTATTACTGTATGATATCGCTGTCATTCCCACGTGGGATGCCTCCATGGTAAGAACTGGACAGTTTGACGGACAGGTGCATGGCTTTGTTTATGTTTCAACTTCGCGGAGATGGTGTTTGACAGCCGGCCATGGCACAGGAAAGTAGTTTGAATCGCGTATGAATATATATGTGTGCAATTATTATTTTTATATATATTTACTATTATCTTCATATTTTTCCACTGGAAAGAACAAAGTACAATATATTTATTATCTGTGGTATATTGAATTGTAACAATATTCACTTTTGATCAATATATGATAATCATCACCTGAAACTATATACTATAGCGGCTGAATTTATGTAAATTACAGTGAACAGGCTTATTTTAGACTTGCATTAGTCCTAAAAAGTACTCGCACCTGTCACACAATGGACTAAGTTCTGAGCTAATTTTGATTTTTCCAAATTGATTCTTTGAACAAATATTAAACTGTGTGTCTTCAGTTGATTTCTGAACAAAAGCAGAGACTTCTTATAGATAGTTCATTAAAGTTTATTATATATCAACAGATTATATTTTAACTAAATAAAATAAATTTATAAAATTACACGAATTCGTTCAAGTTGACATATTGAAAAATCAATTTAAAATGTGAAATAAAAATCTTTTTTGATAATTAATTTACTAAATAAAAATAAACACACGGAAACATATGACGGCTACCTCAGACGGGAGAAATTTGTTAAAAAATAAATAATATTCTGATTTTTTTTAAAATACAGATTCATGTTGATAGTTTTTTGTTTCCATTATAGTAGATTGTGTACATGTCTTTGACAGTCATCCGTAATTTCAACAGTTTTCTACCGATATGAGTACGAACTCGCGACTGCTTAAGTCAAATAAGTGCGCGGAAACCGATAACAGGACGATATATACGTCGATCAAAAGTTTATTAATTCTGACGAAAATTGGATCAACTATGCAAAGAAGATCTTATAAATGCTACTGTATCGTGATTTATGCTTTTACTGTTACTTACAGACACGGATCATTATTAGTTTATTCATTGTGTTTTTTTACTCTACTAATGTTCGAGTTATCTCCCTTCCATTTGCATTGGTAATTTATGGAGTGATGCGTATTTAGGAATTGAAGTATTCATGCAAAAATATTGTTAGGGCAAGGGGACTCAATTTTGTATAAACGGTGGGTGTGGCCCCCTGTATGCAATATTCGATTTTTGTGCACGCAATATTTTTTTTGCTCATAAAAAAAGGTTTTGGGTATTCAGATTTTGGTAGCACAACGTACATTGCAGTTAAATTATTAATTTTCGCGAAGAAGAAAAGTTCCGCTCGAATATTTTTGACTTGGGGCATTCTCCATTATATAAAGAAAAATGAAGCACTCAAAAGAAGTTTTTCTTGTTTCTAGTAACTATATATATTTCTGTCAGGTTATTCATAGACTTTTCGACATAAATTTGACTCTAAAATTGATGCTCTGGTTTTATAATTTCCGAACGGCAATTCAGTGGGTAAACTCAGGGATGTGTAGTGGACACTACACATCCCTGGTAAACTGTAAGGGAATAACTGTTTTGTTTGAATACAAAATAAAACTTTCGTTAATACTGTGTAGGACCGGCATTCGGAACTTTAATTTCATTTTTTTCGATTCACTTTCTCATTTCTATTCTCAAACAATCAAATTTCTGACAAATATAATTCTGTAAATTGCAGGCAATTAACGTGATATTTATGGTATGTTTCATTTGAAAAGTCCAAATATTTCACAATAGTGACAAAGGCAATAGTATAGTTAGACAGGTTAACACCCCCTACCTTAGAAATGTTCGATTTCATAACACGATACGTGATTTATGTAAAATGATTTAAAGTTTGAACATGAAAAATGATAGAATTAACCATGAAACGCAAATCCCGCGGAATAGAAAACAAGCTAGCGCTGGTATCTTAAACATGATCAATTCCTCTCCTAAAATTGTGTCCCGTTTTACGGCGTTTATGACGAATCATTATTATTCATTGATGGTTGACATACATATGATACACCCGGTGATTTATCAATGGGACGTGTACAGTATGCATTGGATGAGCCGCTGGTCATCCGTCAGTGTGGTCATCTTGTCTACATGTTTATGTAGTGACCGATACATCCCGGGGCCCATTACGTAGCCCCGTTCTATGATTGTCCTTAATTAACCCCTAAGACTGTTTAAACACCACGTACATAATTATAGCACGGACTTACATAATTTCATGGTTATAGAAATGTATAGCTAGATGATTAACCGATGATTTTATAATTATAGATTATAGCTGGAGATTGGATCGGGAGTCATCGACACTGCCCCGAACTCACTGACACAAATATGTCACTGTTTTGTAGTAGATGACAAGGTTGATAGATTTACGTAGTGGACTGGAAAAAGTACTCTACTTTCAGCTAGCCGCGTGCTTTCACATACATTGTAGAGCTCCTAGGATGGAGAGAATATCGACTGCACATATCTGCTAACTACAGGAGGCCCAGGTTGATGGATAAACCAACTTAACATCTATTACCTGAAGATATATTTCATTATCTCATTAAATAATTTAGATATCTCATTAAGTTTTTAAATATCTTTAAAAAAGGAGAACAGTTTGGATATCTCATTTAATCCTAGTAGCCAAATGTTATGTATGAACTACCTTCATTGCAATTCCAGATATTTTAAGATTATTTATACTTACATTTAAAGATATATTTTCTGATCTATTATATACCTGTACGATCATTGTTGTTGAGAATTTTTTTTGGTGGTGGTGGTGGTGGTGGTGGTGGTGGTGGTGGTGGTG